GAAACGTTCGTCCTCGATCCTCTCGAATATAAGACACATCACTTTTGTGCAGTTCAGAGGGAACATAAGCAAATCTCTTATTTTGGGAGAGTAGGTTTAGTTAATTTTATTCTTTCTTTTTATCTTTTTACATTAATTTGTAAGAGAATAACAGAGATAATCGATTTTGTTCCGGAATTCGAAATAAACGGTTCGTATCTTTTATGTAATAGAATCTCCCGCGCAGAATTTCAGCTTGAATTTTAACACGATCGCTGTCAAAATTAATACATAGCGGAGAGATTTGTTGCGGTGACGGATGTGTCGCACGTACCAACGAATGTATTATTAATATAAATTCCTCGATACATTCGCGGAATGCGGACATTTTTTCAGAGAGAGAAATATCGAGAAAAATGGCTGCTCATCGTGATATGTTCTGACGTACTTTATCAGTCTATTGCTCTTAAATAGCGCTGCGCAATGCCCCAGAAACGTCGGAGAAGGAAAGAAGGCACACGTGAATATGTAAGAATACGAAGTGAAGAGTTGCTGACATTTACGAAAGAAATATAAATAATAACTGCGCTTTAGAGCGTCAAAGGACCGACTGCTTTCACTCCGCTATGCTTGAATAGAATGATGCGAGTGAGAACTACAGACTTCTCATCGCGAACGTCGTAGACTCGTCAAGCATACCACGAAGGTGTGTGCAAGTTACCTCTCAGATATAATAAAAGTACCTCGCGAAGAAGCGCACGTGGAGTGAATCCATTTCTTCGTCCCTTCGCACGAGGAAGCGTCTAATGTACCTTTTCTGATAAACATGAACGAGAATACGCCGCTCGTAAACAATATTATCACGGAGAAAATATTTTGAACTGAGGTGAAGGTACACAATCACGCAAAGTGCAGATGTTCGTCGCGGAATAACGCTTCTAATAATAGATATAACGATTTTAAATGTGTAGGAGAAACTGGGTCTGGCTGATTGCAGCGGTGAGTTCGCGTAATGCTAATGACTCGTGGCATATCTCCAAGGACCGATTGCCGCTGGAAACAAGGAAAATAAGGAACGTTTAATATCATAAAATGTATTAAAGATCAGTAAACAAAGAAAAAGGAAGAAGGAAAAAACGTGGGCAGTTCCAGCATCGTAGGTCTCCGATTATTAAATTTCGTATCTGCTATTTATCTCGTGTGAAAGTTACGGAAAAATATTTTCGTGATTATCTCCGACTGCAATTATTGGATGGCTAAAATCACACGTTTGCGTGTCATGATGAAAGGAAAATAGTCACTTCGTAATGAACGCGATAATGAATTCGCGGGCAGCGAAGAGGGCAACTTGTTGGCCATCGGGAAGCCCGTTCGCGCATCACGGTTTTATCCGCGGCGTTGTTCGGGTCGACCGATTCGGAACGAACCGTGGAATCGCAAATAAATGTCCACTTGTCCGGCGGATCAGCGAAAGAGTGGATCCGTGAAGCCGCGAACAAGCCGCACTTCTGGGCTTTCGTTACGTAACATCCAGAAATAGGCCACAACCACTCGGCAGGGCTAAGTTGTGAAGCGGCCGCGCAAATGTCTTTTAACCGCTACCGTGGTCTTCCAACCGTTATAATCACTGTTAAGCTACCCTCGATACTTCGTCCCTCTTCTTCTTCTTCAATTTTTTCTCTCCTCTCTCGACTTGTCGGTGCGCCAGTAATTGGCGTGAAAACAGGTCTTAGTCGTGACGGGTACTCAGATGCTTAACGGAAAATGAGAGCGTCCGACGAGCGAGATCGCTCGAGAAACACTTATTAATGCAAATCGCAAGAAATACAAGCTAAAAGTTAGCTAACGGCGGAACGGCGGAATGGCGATTAAGCACGGGGAAATGGGCTTGCTGTTTTAACTCGTCTATTAGAAAAACCAAAAACTTACCAGCGCAAAATTCAGGATTTTGCACGTACGAGTTTTTAATCTTTTAATAATTCGACTGTTCAATCTCATCTCGAATGTTATTATTACATCGCGATCTTTTCTTTTCTTTTTTTCTATTTTTCTCTTAAGCGGAACTGGCTGAAGAGAACTTGTTAGGCCTGCGGAATCTTGTCTAACGTCTGCATAAACGTAACGTCGACACTTGCGTCTACAGGATTAACGGCATGCTGCTGCAAGAATATGAAAGCTCAAAATTGCCTCGCGACGTTTGTATGTGTATGTAACATTAATGAATCTTGCTCTTTATCTTACGCGAAATATCCAATCTATTAGCTTGACGCGCAGCTAACGGGCAAACTCGCGCGGCTACAAGATACAAGATGTATGGCTGATAGCTGGGAGAAAATAAATGGAATTAAGGTTGTCGAGACACTTCGATTTCGCGTTTAACACGAAGGCGCTTCGTCCGACAGCTAAAGGAATTACGGACGCCTCGGACGTGTTTTCGTATTTGCACCGGCAAAGGATGAAAGTCTCGTCACCGGAGAAACCGACGTTTGCGCTTGAATTAAATGAAGTGCAAAGCAGACGAAATACCGAGTATTTAACGACGAAGTAGGGCGCAAGAGTGCAATTGAGACAGAGATCTGAGAATACCTTTAACCCACTAGCTGACCTTTAAGACGGAGTTTAACATCGGTCGGGAATTTCTACCGCGAAGAGTAATAGGAATATTGTGTAATGTTCCAAAACGTTAATACGTCTGTACCAAAGGCGAGAATTGTCAAGGAGAAAACTTGCTTTATCCCATTTCTTGATTAGTTGTGACTGTTATTTAACAAAGCCATTGTGTCAGTGTCAAAAATTATTGACATTAGAAAGTTACACTTTCTGACACGTGTTTGATAAAATATTGTCACTGATGTAAAATCCCAACGTGCGTACGTCGTGAGAGAAAACCATAAGTAATCCGTGCTGAAATGCAATTAAGTCTTCCCCCTGCAGGCCCAATGGCTTTCTCTTTAATTGTTTGTTCGTCCGCGCACTGTTTCTCCATCTCCTCGAGATTGTGCCCACGTTAATCTAATCGATCACGTGCGCCGTTATCTACTACGCGCGGAATATTTTCATTTGCCGGACCGAAAGCCTCGCAAAATCCCCTCTCTCGAGAGTACCCCTCGGCACTTGAACGCCTCTTGAGACTCTCGAAATCGCACGTTGATATATTTCTATCGCGATCGTTACGTTGAAGGGCGCCTGAATATCGATATACGAAGAAATACGTGCAAAACATAGAAATAAAAGATGAAAATAAAGAAAGAAAAATAAAAAGAAAAGAAGAGTAATCAGCGGTACAAAACTAAAGCAACGGTGTAACCGTCGTGCAACCGCAAAATAATATCCTCGAGTCAAGTGCAAGTTGAGCTTTGCGCGAGCTTCGCACGTATAACGATCTATCGCTGAAGCCAATATATTCTTCCCCTCGACAAATATGATCGAATCTGTCGAACTTGACGTTATAGTGAACAATTTGTCATAGAGATAACCATTTCGGAATAGCCGTAATCGATAATGCGACGTACAGCTGACGAAGCGTAACGCATCCTCCGTTTAAATCCTCACCGATTTGCTCGTGATAGATACACCGGTTAGATTCGCGATCGACGAGACCATTGTTCGCAATTATCATTGTTCATCGCAATCCGCTTTGCAGTTTTAATCGACCGCTGATCATTGTGCACATATTAATATAAATAAGTTTGTTACGCAAACATACATATACAGACACAGATTGTTGAAGACACGGTACGCCAACCACATCCAGATTGTCCATAAATTCACGAGCGCAGCTTTGGTCGGATGTTCCGCTTCGTGGAATATTCTCTCGTAACTTGAAAATCCCAGAGATTATATCACGTTGTGTTGCAATCCCGATTTATGGGACACATCTGTTTTATTAGTACATGATTAATTATTAGTGTACGATTAATTATTAATCTTCGCATAAGATCAATTCTTGCGCGCAAACTTGCTTTTGCGGAAACAGACATCTCCTCTTGATTGTCTCTTAAGCTGACCATTGCCAATTTTGCGAAATTCACGGATTCATGGTCTCCATCAATTACACGAGCGAAGTTGATGCGTCAGGCAACTTGTAACTGACCCCTTTGATGATATCCTCGAATTGTCCGAACAAATTGCCAATTGTCTCGTGCTCGTTATTTTCGGTTGCGGTAATCGCTTGCGGCTAATGATCGTCGCATGCTAATAATGTAGCGTAGACGATGAGGGAGGGCGCAGTATCGCGAAAAAGAGAGGTGTCGTTTGCTCGATCTACTAATACACGACTAATGAAATGACAAACAAGGGCGTGTCGAGTCATTTCCTAGGTATCGTTGTCAATTTGCCACATCGAGATTTCGTCGAATGGCTCCCGCACGATTGTTCATCGACCCGCCTAAATGACCACTTTCATAATTAATCTTTGTATGGCTTGCATATAGAACGCGATACCGAACGGCAAACGCTGTTACACAAGCCCTCTGCTCATCCTTGAGAGGTTTCCCGCTTATTAGGCAACGTATATGTTGTACTTAATGAGACAATTAACAATATCTCACGTGGTAATTAAAATTGCATCGAGTCAATACTTTACGACTGACCGAACAAGCGCCTTAACGCGAGATTCTATCGAAGCTCAAAATATTGTCAAGGCTCAATGCGATCGCAATTTATCGAACATTACGCTCGATATTAGCAGCCGATTCTCGCGGTTATTCGACGAAAAGCCGAAGCTATGTCAAAGCTTCCCTTTATGACGGAAAGATAATCGGCTGTACTACCGCGTACTCCGCGACAAACTCATTACCACGTGTTGTGCAATAATTAACGTTCCACATTTCTCAAAGATGATATACTCGAAAAGCAAGCGCTGCTAGCGAATATAAAATATTTGGAAATTATTGACGCGCGCATACGCGTCAGTGATTCACTGCATCGATGGCGACGACAGCCGATTGTAAAAAGAGAGTCTTCACGTGCGATACCGCGAACAATGATTAATTAATAACGCGCGCATCAATATGTTGCAGAACGGCTCGCACTGAGGATCGAAACGCGTACAGCTGAGAGAAGAATACGCGAGGGACGATAATTCAAGAAGCCGCCATGAAGTCACACGTGAGTAGCGACAATCGCGTTACCTTAAAAATAATTCGCGTTAATGCCGCGATATTTCTTGCTCGCGCAACAACTTCCCATCTACAGGAAGGTCCAAATTTCGGACTAGCGTAATTTTCCGAAAGCATCAAATATCGAATAAAAAGATCACGTATGACTCTACACATATCGGATATAATTTTAGTATTTATAGTATCGAGCGGACTATGACATAAATATCATGCATAATAAAGGCCTGTGAAAATCCGAGATGAATGTTCGTCCGACGTCAATGGACGTCGCAATCTTCCGGTCTGCCGAGGTCGACGCGAGAACTTGGAATTCGCGCTTGCATCTGCTTCAGAAGACTTAGTGGACGCTTCCGACGGTATATATAAATCTTCGCAGACAGATAATTCGTTAAATATACTCGTCAGGGACTCGATTGCTCATCGGAAAATACCAGCCGACGTTTTTCTTGGCGAACGCGCTGGGAAGTACGGGAAGACGCTCCGTCAGACCGATATTTACAAGTCGTTCGGCCGACTTTCTGCGTGCAATGTCAATTTCACTTTCCGGACTCTTTGCTTCGCGACAGGATCCCTGAAAACTTCCGGATGAAACCTGGATTACCGAAGCGGGAAAACTTATGAGAATTCGTCGGGAACTTCGAGAGTGACGATGATATTTCTAACCTGTGTGTGTGCGTGTGTGTGTGTGTGTGTGAGGTGATGGGCAAGTGTGTTTCAGTTTCTTCTTATTTTTTGCTTCCTCGCCTTTAAATCGGACAGCGATCGCGCGCTTTTTCGAAGTAACGCGCACTATTTGCCATTAACCCATGTTTGCCGCTGGTCGTCGAGAGAGCACTTAATCGCGGAGATTACGAGCGCGGTCACTTAACCCGCGGATAAAGCGGCATTATGCGATCCGCCACGAAAACCACGCGCGGAAAAAGCTTCAAGTGGTTCGTTGACTGTAACAAGTACGCTATTTCCGACCCCGTCGCGCCGCTCGCTTCGTTCTTCCGTTCGGCGAAGCCGAAAGTGCGTCAGCTGCAACGTGCGTTTGCAGTGAAATTTTACTTCACTTTTATCCCTGATCCAACGATTAATTTGACCGTCCAATCGTGAATAATTTGCATTTATTAGGCCAATATTTGCAAAGTTAACCATTGCATATTATATTATTGGCTGAAATGCCACTTTGGCTTTAATATTTATACATGCTTGATGGATATATCTATAGTGCCACTTATATATTTAACGTAATAATAATAATATGTTGTACGTTACATCGGTCAGCACAGAATTCGTATCAATTCACATGATAAACCAGAAAGAATAAAAATATTTTCGCGTAACGTGTAAATTGAGGATTGACGATCGATTCACTTGTCCATAAACAAGATGCAAAATATTCTGTAATTTTTTCCCTCATCTTCGGGACTCCCGTCCCTCAGGTATCTCGCAGTTAAAGAGGATAAAGAGGCAGAGCGAGATACTTCTCAGAGACCTCCTTTGAAATATAATGCGTTTGTCCGTAGGTAATTTATTACGGCATGCTTCTAATGATATCCTCGAGCTTTGGCGTGGACAAATCTTGCAAGCTCTTTCGCGAGCTTATTCGCGTGTTTTGCGCGCGTCAAACGGCAACTTCAAAGCTTCTCACTCTTTCACGGCAGGAGCTTGCGAAAGCTTAGCACGGACCATAAATGCTACCCTTAGAATGATAACGGCGAACGTGCCATAATTTTCCCGCATGCGGATTCCCGCATGGAGACACATCTCCTTCGGCGGCACGTTAAAGTGCCCTTTGCTGTACTCCGGCAAAAGTTCGCGCTGAGGCGAAATTTCGCCGAGGTGCTCGATTTCGCGACAATGAGGTTTTCGCGGTACTTCCACTGCGAAAACTTTCTTCCGGGACTCGTGCGTTGATTTCGAACAGCGGCTCGAAGCTTCCAAGCACGCAGCTACCTGGCTGAGAGACGACCGTTTCCTTTAATTTTCCACGACTGCGCGTGTTAATAAATAATTTCGATTGTTCTTTCACGGACAATTTCCGTCCTCCCCGAGGAGGAAGACACCAGTGTCAACAACGGTGTGACGCTATGTGTCTTTGCTCCTCTCTCATTCGCCATGCTTCTGATATTTCAGCGGCGCATCATTTATTTGTACGCGTTTACAAGTTGGATACCGCGTGGGCGGTAAATCTAAACTACCTCACGCACCTGTCATTCCAAAGAGATGACGTGAAAAAAATTCAACGCGGCGTGCAGCACACTATTTTTCGCACCGCGCGGAATGCTGCTTCGCGCCACGTGACGCGGAAATTGTCACGCTGTATACCTGAAAATTCGATTTTGCTACGCATCAGAAAACGACTCGCTTAAAGCATTTAAAGTGCACGCGTCGGAATTGCTCGGAGCGCTCCTGACATCTCGATATCTTCAGGGAATATATATATATATATATACACGAGTATATGTAGTTTTCTTTTCGCGAGGAGGATATTTTTCTTCTCGTATCTTACGATCTGTTTATCGCCAGTGCGAATCGCGTTCTCTCTGTGAAAGAGGCGCGAGTCGTGGATTACATCAAGCGGATATTCGCGAGAGCGCGAGATCGAACTGCCGAGAAACGGTATTTCGCACGCGTAATACCAGCAATCGTCCGTTATTGATGACCGTCGTTCGTTTCCGATCGTTCTCAACAATACGCTGACGAGTGTCCTCTCAGCAGGAAAGGTCGGAGCTCGGAACTTGAGCGAAATCCGGTTCCGATATATCAGTTAATCTTCCGTACGGAATGACCGTTTATTTGCCGGCCTAAAGAGAAGTTGCCGACGACGTGCGAACGCTCGTTTAAGTTATGTGTGTCACTGCGCGAGGCACGAAAGCACCCCTGCCTACTTATAACAGTTATATAGAAACGTATAAAAATATTTCCCGAGAGAGAGAGAGAGAGAGAGAGAGAGAGAGAGAGAAAGAGAGAGAGAGAGAGAGGAGAGAGATGTATAAGTGTGCACTTTCCGGGACAACGTCGCGTTTTGAAACGCACTCTCTCGAGCGCATCCTCTCTGGACGTAAAATTATACATAAAACGACTTAAATAAGTGACTACTCTATTAACGAAATATACAACGGATGCATAGAGAGAGAGAGAGAGAGGGAGAGAGAGAGAGAGAGAGAGAGAGAGAGAAAAGAAACTCATAAGAAGGAGACGAGAAGGGGGCTGCGTTGCAGATTCGTGACTTTCGCGCGTTAGGTGCAGAGTTTATTTCGAATAAGCGACCTAGAATAATCGCGCGCCCATTTCATGGGAGCGTGCGTGACGTGCGGCAGCGGCCTGGAAAAAGTCGCGGAGAAAATAAACAATTTTCTGTCCCGTCCCGTGCGGACTCGCGCGTAGTGACACGTAGAAGAATGCGCAACGGACCGTTTGGATAGCTTCCCGTTGAATTTCCACGCCGAGCGCTCGGAAGAAGTGGCCACGAACAAAGTAGCATTCGGATTCCGCTCGGATTCCCGTATTCTGTCTCTGGATAGAAGCCATATTCGCGGGAAGCTGTTTAAAGCGTCTCGCGGCCGTGTTCCGCGATATTTAACCCCTTCCCGGCGGCTCCCGATCGAGCAAGTCGTCGTCGGTGGTTCGAGCGAGCGAGCGAGCGTCAATTCAATCAGCCGTATCTCAACAGGATGCTCAGTAATAATAGGAATAATTAATAATACAATAATGAACTGAAATGTCCGGCTCATCACGGTGCGCATCACGGTGCGCATTATATTCGTAAATATCGCATGAATGCATTTAATTTCTCCTGCAGGACGTGTGTGCGTGCGCGCACACGGCCGCACCGCGACGAGTCTCAGTGGCGGGGATTTCTGCATATGTAAATACCGCGCTGTTTTGAGTACTAATTAACAGTTTGGTAATCGGCAGAATTAAATCGTGCGCGACTGCTGATAAAAATTGGTATACACATAGAGATGGTTTTAATTAGTCTTACGTTGAGAAGCAAGTTCTCGGCTGAGGTTTCCTTCCCCTTCGTCGGGTGATCGAGGGTGACCATTTAGTGATGAAACTAAGCGTGTGATGAAACACGGGTGATGAAACGGAAGTAGGGAAAGCGAAATGAGAGCGAGCGGCAAAACGGTAAGCGACAGAAGCACACGCATTAAAATTGACGCTGATGGCCTCGACGTCGCTGCGATATATGCGAATGATGCTTCATCGAATTCGAGAGAGCTTAAAGCGCAACGTCCGATGAGTTAAGCTTTGCCGATTCTCTCTTTTTCCCGTCGCGCGAAAGAAGAGTCGAGTAATTTCGCTCGGAGAAAGTCTGCGCGATCGAAAACACCGGGTGCAAACAGTGAAGTCGAAGATAGGGGGTTCTGTCAATCGCAAAAATCACAAGAGCGCTTATTCAGTTTTTCGCGCTCGCGCTGAAACGCATGCGAGTTAACGTTTTTTTCCCTGCGATTTCAATATACAGCCTGAATACGGAGGACCGGCCGTTCGCAAATTAAACACGGGGACCCGGAATATTGCGACAGACCTGAAATATTTGAGCGATAAACGGTATTTCCATATAAAGGGCATACATTTTTTTTTCATTTAACCTCGTTTTATTTAAGCCCGTACATTTTTCCTTTAAATTTAGAAAAATGTTCAAAGTGAGAACAATTCTAATAAAAGATGTATTTACTATCTGTTATTATAATCTGATGTAGTGCGACTCGGCTACAAATTCTCCGGATGATCTGCATTTAATTTAGTCGCATATGCATGTAATGGGAAACGTACGAAGCGGCTGCAAACGCGAGTGAACGAATCGGAAAATCCTTGCGCTGCGGCAACGTTGTTGCCATCCGTACCGCGTCTTTCCTATCCTTCCAATTTTTTGCAAATAATTCCTGCAGATATTCCTGATCGATAAATCCATCTCGCAGATGTTCCCGCCGTAATCACCTTAGATCTGGGATTCGCCGTTCTTAATCGAGAAATCGATTTCCTCGACGCGTTGCTCGCCGAGGTAATCCGGCATTTGTCAGCGCCCGAGTGGAAATTTAAGGGTGTTTTAACGACGCAGCGAATCAGGAAAGGTGACGCGTTGCGAATGAAGCAAAATCGACGAGAATAAATTGTCCGAAACGCACGTACATACTGAACGTGCATACGAAACTGACGTTTCTCACACGCGGATCACAAACTGCCACGTGCGCGCGATTTGCATTATAATTCAACGATAAATACGAATATTCATTCGCGTCTACGTTGGATTTTGTTCCAGAAGAACAGCGACCTCAGTCGGGACCAGGATCTGATGCTCGAAACGGAGTTCAAACGCTGCAATCGCGGCAATATCGTGGAAGCAGGCAAGCGAAAAATACGATATGTAATAATTCCGCAAACGAGACGCGCGTGCGAGAGAAAGCGAGAGAGCGCCGAGCGCCGATGTCGAAACAGCGTTGATATTTCAGCGTGTAGGACGCGCCTGTCGCCTCCGGCACGGTTGCGCGATTCAACGTGCGTCCAGTAAATCTCACATTGTATGCATGTTCGTGGAATCTTGAATTACGCGTGCACGCAAGCTTTGGGCGGATCATTAGTAATCGCCTCATTAGCATGCCCGCGATCTCTTCGCGGCGTCTTCGCGCGTATCGCGCGGAAATCGCGAGAGCGATCGATCGCGGCGATACCGCGCTCGCGTTTTAATCCCGCTCAATCGCGCGTTAATCGCACGAGACAGTGCGAGCGACCGAATCGATCGGTTGGACGCATCGGCAACGTGAGGAGACGTAAATGTACGATAAGTTCGTCGATTAAACCGCGAATAATTATCGCGGGGGACAGGATAACGCGCGTGGTTGCAGGACGCTGGAGTATCCTTGATGCACGCTAATAGCTTCGACTAGCTCGATTAGCCTCGATCGTTAATTGCAAGTTAGCAGTTGCAATAATTATCGGTATGGCGCATAATTAGAAGTTAATTATCAGTTAATAACTGGCGCGCATAATTTAACCGAGCGCTTCGAAATTATCAGCGGAGACTCGCCCGGCTGACATAACACAGTTTCGGAAACCAGGCTGCGTGTGACGTCGCGTGTCGCGTGAATACTTTCCGCCGATAATTTCGCGATCGCTACCACGACCGCGTGACGGCTCACGCGCGGCCGGCAATGTCGCCGCTTTTGCTCGCGTTAGAACGCGAGGCGTGGACGGAAGCCCGCGGAACAATTGGAGGGGAAAATTCAAAGGCTATCAGCGGGCCGCCATCCAGCACCCGTCGCCGACGGCGACGGATCGCCAGAAAACGCGCGTGGACTAATGTCAGCCACGTGGTTTTGCGCTCCGCCGCGTGTGTACGCACAACACCGTGGATAAACAGCGCCCATAGAATGCCTCCGAAGCAATTAATGTCGCAGTTAATCTCGCACGGGGCGTTGAGTAGTTCGGGCGAAATCAAACGCGCGAGTCGCGCTGACGCCCCAAGTATTAATTACATCAATATGAGTAATGAGTCGTGGGGTCCCGCGCGAGTCCCATCGCTATTTATCGTTGTTTCCGCGTGTGCGTGTGTATATTTACACACACACACACACGCGCGCACAGTAAAATATGACACAATGGGAGACAGAATCGTATGTGCACACACGGATTGTCGTCGACGCGCTCGCCTGCCTTCGGCAGAATTGGTTGCCTCGTAAATTTGCATCGCGCGATTTCCACGATCCGTCCCCGATAAACAAACGCGGACCAACAAATATATCGCGGAGACTCGCGCGAGAGAACTCCGCGCTCGTGCGGTGTGCTCTTGATTTCTCAGTTAACTCGAGGGAGAGAGAGAGAGAGAGGGAGAGAGAGAGAGAGAGAGAGAGAGCGAGCACAAAGTTGCGATAATATTTACGAAGAAGTGTTGCGCGTTTGATCCCCGCACGTTCCATTCCGCGGGGATTTTACGCAGGCGAAAGAAGAAGTTCGTCGAACGCGCTCGCTCGTTAAAGGTTAAAGGATATATAAGTTCAAGGAGAGCGGTCTTGCGAAATTATAAATTAAGGCTCACGCGCGCTCTCGCGCTGTCGGAATCGGAGGTGCTTTTCAACGAGCTTTCACGCAGCCGGAGTCGAACGCGAACGAAAAGTCTGTGCCGTTGCGTTATTCCCGTCTCCGGCCGAGAGAGTTTCGCCTGTATTGACGAGTCTCGCGCCGTGTTATGCTGTTAGGTTGACCGGCGATATCCGCGCGATCGAGAGGCAGCGCACGATTTTCAAATTGAGCCGCGCGGGCGAATGCATCGGCATGCGTTGTTCGGCGATACGGTTCGGCGGTGGATGCGTACAACGAATGTCGATAATACCGCCCGCGGCATTGTTTCAAGTAAATGCAGTCGCCTGCTTCTATTGCGACGCATATAGAGCGGCGGCGGCGGCGGCGACGATATACACGTGGAAATGAACAAATGCAATTTCGCTTCGCGCGCATCCGGCATCTTAATGGATTCTCCTGTCCCCGCGGACCGCATCAAAGCGAGCCGAAAGAGCAGGCAAATCTGCGCAGGAGCGCGACACGTTTGTCGCGCTACTCGGCGAATCCTCGCGGACGACCTCGACGACGACGACGACGATTTTCGCGATCCTCGCCGGAGGGCTGCTCGGGCTGCAAATGACCACCGATTCGCCTGGCTCAGCCGGCGCATTTAATAATAACGACCGCCGTGTGTGATCGGATCTATATATCGCGCCGTGTCGCGCAAAGGGGCAAATCCATTATTTCCATAACTGTCGAGGCGAGGCGAGATATTGATACGCATCGACATATCCATGGATATCCATGGCCGCACGTGCGGCAGGACGAACGCGGCCCGCAGGTGTGTAAAATATTCGGTTTCAGTGGGGATTATCAGGAGGTAAACCATACGCAGCAGTTCGGCGGGCGATCGCGGAATCAGAGTTGCGCGGAGACGAGAGGCCGATGCGAGCCCACGCATAATAATGACGCGGAAACTAGGGAAACCTCTCTGCGCTGCTATTTTCATCATCGATGTGAAAATGAATGAAACGCGAAACTCATGAGATCATCCGTGTCATTGATTGTTCTCTGGCTTCCAAAGCGGTTTCGAAGCGGCTTCTTTTGCGGTACTCGAAGCGCGGCCGGCGGAATAAGTTTCCGACGGATTTCCGCGACGAAGTCAAGTTCTCTCAACGGGCATCCGCTGCTCGTTTTAAATTGCATGAAAATAAGCTCGGACCGTTTGGACGACGGAGCGGCGGTGTCGCATTTGGCGCGCTTCTCTCCCTCGCGTGAAAACTCGGCCCTCTCACTCGCGCTCACGCTTACGTCTTAACGTAAACTGTTTCAGGCTGGTGTCCCGAAACTTGGGACGAGATCTTGTGCTGGAACTCGACGCCACCTGGGGAACTGGCCGTGCAGTCTTGCCCATATTATATCATAGGGTTCGACATCGAGGTAACACCCCTCGGTGCAGCGTACTTCTCCTTTCTTCCCTTCATTCTCACGGAATTGACGCTTCGCTGGCCGCGAAGCCCGCGAGCGGATATTCCGAACGAAATTGCAATTTTATATGGCGGAGTAACGAGCGGAGAGCGGATTAATATCGAGACACGCGCGGAGACGTCGGTGAGAAATTTAATCGGCTGAATTTCTCGATCTCTGGCGACGCTGTCTTAACGTAAGCACTCCGGACGGGGGAGGGGGGGAGGAGGAGGGGGAGGGGGGACACAGGGTGAAATTCATTTTTCAAAGTCGGATAATTGAAACCCGCTCGCGGCACATTTCGCGGCCGAGCGCAAGAATTTACAACACACACCCGAGCTGTCCCTCCACTCCGGAATCTGTATTCCATTTTTCCTCCACGAGGCGGGGATTTGATTAGCCGTCATAGTTCCTTCTTTTCATCCCGTAACGAACACGTATCCGTTACTCTGGACTCGCTTACGTTAGCTCCCGGACTAGCGGTATCTCGATATTCCGAGGAAAATAATAAGCTCCGGAGCAACCGAGATAAACGCACTTTTCCCGTGCTTTTCAGGCGGACGCGTCGAAGCAATGCATGCCGAACGGCGAATGGTACTTCAACACCGTCACCGGCATCACGTGGAGCAACTACAGCCAGTGCTACCGTGAGCAGCTAGTCACCGTCTTGATGAACATATCGGATGTACAGGCGAACAACGTCACTCTCATCCGGGTGAGATAAGTTAATAGATACTCGGGGGACGAAAGTGAGCGATCGTTCCTCGTTAAGTAGACCACGTGGGCGATTGATATTATATTCGGCTAATCGCCGAACACGGTATTCTCGAGAGTCAGCCGGTGAGAAAGAGAGGCGGAGATGAAGAGATCGATCGGAATCACACTGACGCGACGTGACGTGACGTCAATTGTCCTACTCGCGAGGAAATGAGCGCTATAAAGGCCGACGCCGACGCCGACGTCGACGACGACGAAGACGTTATCCACCGGAGCGTCGCCACGTTTACAGCGCCGAGCACCCGCGGGGTTCCCGGGGTCTTAGATGATAATGAATCGAGCGGGCGCGCAAATTAGCCAATAGCTGCGACGTAATGGTGTTATCGGGTGGGCGGGCGGGAAGGGGGCAGAAGAGCATTCTTCTCCCCGACGGGGCCGAAGGTAGAAATTGCGCGGGGGAGTTTTCGCAGGGCCACGACGAAACTGTGACCGGAAGCAATCTCCTTAAGGATCGTAAAGCCGCGCATCACGCCCGTGAGATGGAATGCACAATGTGCAGACGTGTTGCGTCCTCGATGAGAAATAGCAAAGGATTACGCAGTGGGTCGGGCGGTTCCGCGGGACATTAATTAAACGTAATTTCAAACTTCTGCACTTCTCATGGGGATCACATTCGTAACGACATTGTTGTTGCGCAAGACGTTACTCGGGCTAATTGGATTACTCGGTCTAGACGGCACTCGCAATTGGTCTCTCGCAAGCGGTCTTCATTGTTCCTTGTTTTTGACAACTCGCCAACTCGGCCAACTTCTCGGGTTTCTTCCGGTACTTCGCGCAGGCAATTCTTCGAAAATGAATCAGTGCGATCAGCGCTCACGGGCGGTGTCTCGTGGAAATCACTTTGTAGCTGCTTTGTAGCTGTAGCGAATTATCTGTAAGTCATAAATTAATGATGATCGATTACTCGTTTGCTGAGAACTCGGTTGTGTGTTGTAGAAATTCTTCCCGATCGTGAAGACCATCTCGAAACTCGGCTACACAATCTCGCTGTTCACTCTCATCATCGCCTTTTGTATCTTAGCCACCATCAAGTAAGCATAACGTGATCGTAGTTTCAATCGCACGCCTAATAAAGGTGCGCCTTGCTCTGTAGATGTGCATTTTCTCGTCGGTGTAGTCGCGACGTTAGTTAAGAAACAATTAGTCGACCTTACAGGCTGTTCGGAGGTGTTCCCCCCCCCCACTAAATTCCCGTCTACATGTCCCCTTTCGTTATTTCAAGCATATGAAGAATCGACCGATGAATATAAAAGTATCGATGAGTGCCTAACGATTTTTAATGTCGTGGCTACCGCTGAAGAGAGTGTAGTGAATTTGCCGGCGGTCGGAATGCGGTCGATCGCGCAACTGCTTTAATTTCAAAGAGAATCGCGCGTCGCGGCGCCGAGATCACTCGCGCTTGTGTGGTCTACGCGAGTCGCGTTGCCACTTCAAGTTTGTCTCCCACCGGACGTAGGAAGTTGCGATGCCCGCGGAACATATTGCACATGCACCTGTTCGCCTCGTTCGTCATGCGGGCGTTCATGGCGCTACTGAAGGACATGCTCTTCGTGTCGGGCATCGGGCTGGCGGACGTGGTGATCAAAAACGGTGACGGCTACTGGCTGGTCGATGAGGCGGAGAGCAACTGGCACTGCAAGATGTTCACCAGCCTGTGGCAGTACTTCATCTTGGCCAATTATTCTTGGATCCTGATGGAGGGGATATACCTGCACAATCTGGTGATCCTGGCGCTCTTCACCGACGCTAACTCCAGCATCGCTGCCTACATCGCTTTCGGATGGGGTGAGCGAAATTAACTCATATAAAGCGCATGCGGTAAAGGGACAGGGCAGGATCAACAGGAGAGATTGAGATTAATGAGAAATCGAAGCACCCTGCGCGGAATTCCTTACTGATTTCCTCGCGGAATCTCTTCGAGATACGGATACCTTCAATTAATTTTAATTCAACTCATCTTAATTATCGTAAAGATAGTTAAAAGAGTCATAAAGCCTGTGCAGAAAAGATGTATTTCAAAATGTACAAGACCCCGAGGGAGGAAGTCAAGTTCTTGAAGAAATTCGACGTCGGCTTTTGCTCGAGAAAAGTTGCAGCTGGAATATAATTATCTTAAGGCTTAAGAAATTTATCGCCATTATTCCTCAGGAGATGAATATAAATAATCGATAGAAGTAGCTCTTGTTATCTGCTTCACTCGCGAAGATGATCTTGGCGAACTTCTCGGGTTGAATTAATTCTTCATCGTTATCTCCTCGCTGCTCAGGTCTGCCAGCTGTATTTGTTCTGCCCTGGGTGGTCACGAGGATTATATTCGAGGATACGTATTGTTGGACGACTAACGTGAAGCCTCTCTTGTTCCTCTTCATACGCGTACCCACGATGCTCTCTATCTTGGTAAGAACGACGAACGCGGGCAAAGCTCAGTTGTGTCTTGATGTTAAGTCGACCGCAAACTAATCTCATGTCATCCCCGGCCGCGTCAGATCAATTTTGTGCTCTTCGTTAACATCGTGTGGGTGCTCCTGTCGAAGCTGAAGTCCACCGTATTGGAGGAAACGCAGAGATACAAGTAAGTTTCGTGGAGAGGCAAACTGTGTGTATTTTCAATTCGCAGCGCGTCTCTATCCAGAAACGTTGGCCGCCCAACGTTTTCTAAGCTCCACGAACATATCCATGTTCAATATGCTTCGATTTTCAGACGATGGGCCAGAAGCACGTTGGTCCTGGTGCCGCTATTCGGGGTACACTACACGGTCTTCCTGGGCATGTCGTACAGCATCGGTGTGAACGAGACCGTGGAGATCGTATGGCTCTTCTGCGACCAGCTGTTCGCGTCTTTCCAGGCAATGCGCCATCATTAATAGCACTATAATCCCTGCTTTGGCGCACAAACATTGCATTATTCTTGAGCTGCCGCGCGCGAGTAAGCGCCGGTCCATGAGCTACCTCGTAAATTATGTCTCATCGGCCGGCTGAGAGGCGAGCGGCGCTACTGCGCAAAGATTCACCGTATAATTTCCAGAAGTGAGACACGCGCGTCGGCGGCTCGAGATCCCACGAAAGCAATCTCATTTCAGGCTCACGGTGTAATTTAAATGCATAATCATTCGTAGTAACTTTTGTCTTTGCGTAATACCACCGTCCCGTCACGTTCATCGAACGGAGGCGCGAACAATCGTGACCCCCGGGTCTCTCTGTTCGGGAGCAGGGCTTCTTCGTGGCGGTGTTGTACTGCTTCCTGAACGGCGAGGTGAGGGTCGAGGTGTCGAGGGCGCTTCGCGGCAGCAAGTGGCCGCGCCTACGCGGCCGATGGGGCCCACGACCTTCGACACACTCCGTCAGCACGTGCAGCTGCAACGCCTCCGGGAAGACCGGTCGACACTCGAGACCACGGCCCAGGTGGTGGAGAGCGCGTTGGAAGTCACCCACGTGCCTGTTCCAGGAGCGGGCGATCCGTCGGTCCACTCACTCGATGGCGAGTACACAAGGTGTCCTCTTGAGTCCTACGAATCGTGTTCGTGTCCCCCTGCGTGTATCTTGCTTCGCGAGACAGTTTCATCCACTGCGTCGCGGCTCGCTTTGCCTTTGCCGAGTCGCGTCGTTGGCATCAAATGTTGAATATCACCGCTCTGATTCCGACCCTCTAAATAGGTAATTCGATGGAATGGGGAGGCCGCATTGCTGACAAATGGGTCGAGCGAGTCCTTGAGATCTTGCCGCGTTTCAGCCATTTTAAATTGATGACTGCCTAGGGAATGCGAGTGAAACGCGTACGCGCTGATTAATTGCGGCAGGCCATCGGTCTTTGACTGACCGAACTGACTGACGAATAACTGCTTCGCGGCATTCCAAAGGACCGACGGTAAAATGAGATGGCCTGCGAGAGAGGGAGAGAGAGAGAGAGAGAGAGAGAGAGAGAGAGAGAGAGGAAAGTCTGAAGAAGTCTCGACGTTGATTCAGACATTACCGATATTCGATCGATACTCAACGAGCCGCCTGTGTAGAAAACTGTCCGTGAGATTCGTGCCGTGCACACGACAGTCTGGTGAAATGAAATTTTACAGATGATGGAACGAGAGGAGGTAGTTTAGCGAGCAGCAGAGGCTACCTAGAGATCGCCGGTAACGGCCAGCCGACGGTGCTGCAGACGACGACGCAGAGTCAGCAGCACGGCCAGCATACGTCGCCCTTGTGCAGCAAGTACACCGATCAATCGTTGCTCTCCTTCTGCTCGAACGTGAGTTAGCCTGCGATAGAAGGGAATCATCCCCCTCATGACTCTCCTTTCTTCCCTTTGCTTCTTTTTATTTGCGACGTAGTAGACATCCGCGATATCTGCGGCGGTCAATGTTATGGCAGCCGTATGATGGATGATACAGGAGGGAATAAAAAGTGTGGAGGGCTCTTAGTCGCAGAAGCGTAAAACTCCGGGGCGAGGCGGATGAGTATCCGAGTATTCCTTTGAATTTGTAGCGTGTAGAATAAAAATCGATCGCTTCTCCCTCGGGGACACACGTCATGCGGATAAATAACAAAATTCCTCTGAGGCGGATGGTATATCTCTCTGTCTCCGGCAGAGTGAATTTTTTGTGTGTTAAAATTAACCAACTGCCGTCGTCCTATAGGTATCGGAAGCGTCGGGGCCGAATGTCGAGGGCAGGATACGTGAGCAGCATCGATGGAGCGATTCCGAGTGCTGTCATCTCGCCTACGAGTTGCACAATCTGCAGCACCACGGGCATCCGTGATTCTCCCGTGTGCGATCAAAAAGTAGAAAAAAATCGCATGACGCTTGTCCGTGAATATGCACGATGTGCGTCCCATGTGTGCGCGCATGCGTGTGTGTGTGTGTGTGTGTGTGTGTGTGTATGTATTGAAAGGAAAAGTACAACTAAAAGGTTTAAAGTTTGAATTCGTGAAACTGACGATACAAGAGGAAGGTAACGAGAAAAGGGACAAAACAATAGTGGTTTTCGTTCCTCGCTTCTTTGTATTGTTTGTTTTTCATCTCGCTGATTTCAAGACAGAGGTCAAATCGCTTTTGATCCTATCTTCTTTTACGAAGGGATGTATCGTATCACTGTCGTAGATCTTAAATCGTGCAAATGTGTGTACTATATAATACAGGCGAGGCGTCCGATATTTTAGAATACTTTTAGGTATTCGTTGAAGTGTGCTGGGATGTCCGCCAAGTCCTCTCGATATACCTCGACCTTTTAGCGCTATGTATCTGTCATCGACATGCAAGCTCAGCATGCGAAAAAGAAAAAATATCGAACGTCGGTCGTTATTTATTCATAACGACCGCTATGCACATGCGACGTGACTAAATGAAACAAAAAAGAACGGGTTATTAAAACCAAATATATTTTAATATGGCTGTATAGGCTATATAAACGTTAAGTATTTTTAATATGACTATATTTTCGATTTAGCCACACATCACAAAAGCCTGTAGTCAATTATCTCCTATACACTTGTTATTTTTTTCTATCAAGATATACTATTATTGCGTGAAATTTAATATATTTATAATGGTGTATTTTATTTATATTTGCTACAAAAGTTCTATTTTTCACATTTGATACAATGCTCAGGGGATATTGAAATGATTTATTATTCGTTTTTCGAAGATGAAAGTATCAGTATACCTCTTCAAGCTGACAACAATATTGACGAATTACTTGAGAAAGTTTAATTAAGGATATTTTAAGTATGTTTAATGTACAAATAAATGTCTGAAAGTTCCTTGCGTTAAGGAATGCACGGATAACGCCACGTATCGTGAAGTGCTGTGTTAATTTTAGGATTTTTAGGATAAAAATATAAAGCTCTTTCCATAAATGTAAACATTCAGTTCAATATTTTATCTTATATCTCTCTCACTTGCTTTTTTCTCTGTCATGTAGATACATATATAATGTTTGTATCAAAATACGCGATAGATGTATAAAATTCACGCGAATTCATTAAATGTATTATACTATACTGAAGCAAAAACGAAGAACAAATGATTGGTTATAAGGAACCTTTTATTATTTGACATTTGTATGCCTGTTGTCCCATCCTTTAAAAAAGAATTTATTTTTCCAATTTTCTTTATATTTTCCAAGATGTAGTAAGTTAAAAGACAATTGATGCATAAATAATCGATTATAATAAACACATTTTTAATAATTCCCTTACAAACATAAAAGATAATCGACATTTTTATGAAATTCTAACTATTTGTTATTTAACTAATTAGACTTACTAATAAGAAATTTATACAGTATTAAACATATTGTAAGTACTAATTGAAAATAAATGATTCGTTTGATCGTATTGTATCGAGTCATATTACGATCTCGAATTTTTGTTAAGGACAGTGACGACTCGTAGCGGAGAGTTTGGAATTATATTTTGAAATAATGGACGAAAATCAAGACACCTTTTGTTTTAAAATAGTAAAAGATACAGCAGCTTTTTTTCAATAACAAGCCAAATATATGATGAGCTTTGTCTGTATCGAATTTTTGAATACTGAAAATAATCGATCTTTTAACAAGAAGCAAGAATCGAATATCGATTCATCGATCGAGTATCAGTCACTTCCGTTACACATGTTCTAAGTTGTCGTTTGCCGCGTTTTATGCTCGTTCGATCTGCATGTTGTGTCATACTCAATCCAAGTTGAAAACACTCCGGTAATTTAGTACAAATAATTAATAATAAAATTATTGTATTGTTTTTAAGACATTGGCTTGATATATTTTCTCTATAGGTAATTTTATCTTCGTAGAGGACATGGATGCAGACGGTTGTTTATTAACATGCTCTGCCACGGTTGAATGGTTAAACGCCCAAGGATCTATTTTACGAAAAGTAACTCACAGAACGGCCTCCTTGCGTCTGATCCGGGATAATAAACGTGAAATGTTCATCGAAATCTATGCAGACAAGGCCAATGGTCGAATGAAATTATCCTTGAAAGGTATATCAGTATTTAATAAATTTATGACTGAGGGGAAAGCATCGATCAAGTTCAAGGAACAGAACTGCACATTGTTTCTGTCAAATGCACCATCCTCTCAGTTGATAAGTTTCTTGAAGGCTATATTCATCAAGCTGACAGGTCAAAACGAAAACGTGTTGAAAAATCCCTTAAAAGAGAAGCTTCTCAGTAATATGCGATCAGATGGTGCTAATGACATTAGTCCAGCTACAAGCACAGAGATCAACAGGGCCAAAGATAAAGCCTTGGCTGTGTCGCGCAAGACAGAAACTACTCCGTCACCAAATTCTATTAAGAAGCGGAAGCGTTTTAGTGACAGTACTTCTAAAGTACCTGTTGTAAAGAAACTGTACGATAATCCTACTGTGGGAGAGTTGACTGAGGAGCAAAACATGATTTTAAATGCAGTACTCAACGGAAGGAATGTGTTCTTTACTGGAAGTGCAGGTACTGGGAAGTCATTTCTATTAAGGAAGATAATCTCAGCCCTTCCTCCAGATGTGACGATAGCTACAGCGAGTACTGGAGTAGCAGCTTGTCATATAGGTGGAATCACCTTACATCAATTTGCTGGTATTGGTCTAGGAACTGGCACTATGAACAGGTGTCTTCAATTGGCTTCACGAGCGGCTTCATCTGCTGTATGGAGAAAAACAAAGCACTTAGTAATAGATGAAATCTCTATGGTAGATGGCGACTTTTTTGATAAAATTGAGGCAGTTGCAAGATATGTGCGCAAGACAGAGAGACCTTTTGGTGGAATACAGTTGATTTTATGTGGTGACTTCTTTCAACTACCACCTGTATCCAAGAACAACGATGAAGCAAAATTCTGTTTTCAAAGTGAGGCATGGGAAAAATGTGTTCATTTTAACTATGAGCTGCAGACAGTTCACAGGCAAAAGGATGAAGCGTTTGTAAGGATATTGAATAATATTAGGATAGGTAGAGTCACGGATGATATCGTAGATACTTTGAAAGAAACAGCAAAACAAAAGATTGAAAGTAATGGAGTATTAGCAACCAGATTGTGTTCACATGTTAAGGAAGCTGATGAGATTAATGAATTTCAACTAAGTGAACTTAAAGGTGAGACTAAAGTATACACAGCGTTAGATTCTGATAATTCTATGGCACATGTATTAGATCAGCAGCTAGCATCTATACCTAGTAAATTAATATTAAAAGTTGGTGCTCAAGTTATGTTATTAAAGAACGTAAGTGTTACTAGTGGATTGGTAAATGGAGCTCGAGGTGTTGTTACCGACTTCAAAAATGATATACCGGTAGTTCAGTTTCGGTCTGGAGCTCAATATGACGCAAAGATGGAAAAATGGAGTATTAAAGCCAGTTCTGGTGCTTTGGTGCACAGAAAGCAAGTTCCATTAAAATTAGCTTGGGCCTTCTCAATTCATAAGAGCCAGGGCTTAACTTTAGACTGTGTAGAAATGTGCCTGTCAAGAGTGTTTAATGCTGGCCAATCATATGTGGCACTTTCTAGAGCTCAGAGTTTACAAAGTTTACGTATTTTAGATTTCAATAGTCACCAAGTATGGGCCAATACAGCTGTACTTGAATTTTATAAAAAGTTCCGAAGAAATTTGCAGGAAATGGAAATGATTCCACTAGGCAAGAAAATAAAATTAAAGAAATAATGAATACTTTTATATTTCTCATATTTAATCTTTTTTCTGTATGTGATTTGTAGGAAGTAAACATATTTGTTCAGCAAACACGTGAAAGTACATATGGGTGACATATATCGATATAGTTATATTATTATAATAGATATAATTGGTAGAAAATATAATTTCGTAAACGCGTATAGCACATATTAATATTAACGATGACAAATTTGTGTAATATTATTAAGTATTAAAGATATGATAGACGGAATGATGCTGTAATTTTTTATCTCAATTAAAGAAAGTAAAAGCTTTATTTATTTATATATATATATATATATATATATATATATATATATAATGAATACAACATTTCTCCATTTTATTTTACAAATATTACAATTTACTAATATTTAGATGGACAATGGTTTGTTAATAATCGTCGACAGTTATTTCGATCGGCGGAATGTAGCGCCATGTGTGTCCGGCATTTATCAGCTCCGAATAAAGTACCGGGGAATTCGGAGCGGATTCTTTACTACTGCACTGAATATCTATTTTGTATTGACCAGCTGTGAAAAATACTACCCGACATTCGTGATACGCTCTGCCGTACTCCTGCAACTATCATCATTTATGATAATGGGAAACGCAACGCTTGTGATACAATCACAAATTGCATTTATAAAAGTTGCAACTTACAGCAGGTAGCATGACTTTATTCGCCCCAGCTATAGACAATCTCGTATCTAAGTGATAATTGTTAACTCCATTGTGATGATCCTGATAAAAGTTGATGGACAATGTGAGATCGTTCAGTGGATGTTCCAGAGCATTGCATACTCCCACACCGACACTGACGCATTCGCCTAAACCGCATGTCAATTCATCTTGCGCTTTTACAATAACGTCGTTGATAGTTATCTCTGGAAGGAATTCATCACTCGTTCATTTTGACTGACATCCAATTAAATAGACAAATGTGTAGAAATTAACATATATATACGCACCCCATTGAAGAGGGCTCATTCTCACCAGATCCAACATGTCCTGAGTTAGTGTGATACCAGATAGAGTCGCTTTACCAGTTGATTCTGTACCTAATAATTGCCAGCGAAGATCGACCAGCGAGGCGATATGTTCAGCGCATATTTTTTGGAGTTCTCCGGTATCACCAGCACCATTTAGCTGTAAGCGCAACGCGGTACAATAATGTTGCGTTATATAACGCGTCTCTAGTATATTATTAAGTATATTATATTCTTCATTACCATAGACAACTTGTTAAGCGGACATCGGTCAACCGGCACAGGTATCCTACATGGTTCTTTACCTTCCATATATATACATTTACTCTGCGTATAATGCAATTCCATTTCATGATTCGTCATATTTGTCACGTCCAACACGAGATAGAATTGTAACGGCCTAAAAATCGTCAAGATGCGGCAAGAGGCTTTTGTAAATTAGATCTCTATGACTGCACATAAACTACAAATTATATGAATAAATGTGATATTTTATAGAACACCTGGCTCTTTTATAACTTACGTTTCAGCCGGCAATACATCCCAGTTGGTGATTTGTACACTAGGTAGCATCTCGATGGTTATAAAAACAGATGAAGTTCTGCAGTAACCAGCCGTCAAGCCGGCGCCTCCCGAATATTTAATTCTCAGTTGACCCTCGATGACGTTGGATGTATGTAGAGGTATCGCCAGTTTCGATAGACGCGTGCTCGCCAAGGAAGAATGACCAGATTGCGAACTCACTCCCGACCTGAAGGAGGAGGTCAGTTCGGATTGTCTCTTGGTATGGTGGGATGGGGAACTGAGCCTAGACGGCAGCGAACTGTGGCCCGAATGCGACATTAAGCTGTTCGGTTGACTGAGACAAGTGCTGCTAATCATGTCTGAAAGAGCAAGTTACATATTATTAACGAAAGCAGGACGACGAATATTTCGAGATTTTAGATCAACGTAGATGTTACCGTTTCTAATCGAAGGCGCCACGAAATCCGTCGCTGCGTACAGATACAGAGTGAGACTCGCGCTGCTGCCAGGCTGCAGAGGTAGTTGCATCATTAGATTCTCATCGCTCCACTTGAATATCTTACTCTCGGTTACAGCGTCTAGAGCGGATTGCACCGATAACTCGACCATCTCAATAGGAACTTGCCCAACGTTCGTTATCGTCACGGTGCACTCGGCGCTGCAAACGCGCGAGCAATATCATCATGTTGACCGATTTTACACAACAAAGAATTAACAGAGTGTTCACAGTGAATACGGACCTCTCACCGCCGTAGAGCGATATACTCGCGCTCGTAACTATATTGTCGCCCGAACTGAAGCTGGCGGTTTGAGGCAAACTGGTCGCGACGTCGAGTCTCGGTAAGGCTGGAATCACCTCAACTGTATACTGCGGATGCAACATGCCTTCCATATGCCTTAGTCGACAATTCGATTTCACTCCTAGTGTATGCGTACTGAAGCCGAGTATCTCCAAATCACCAACTTCCTTAGGTCTGCCTGCCAACGTGACCGCGATCGGCCCGGATTTCGCGGGCAAACTGATGCTTTCCGGTATCGATTCGAACACCACGCCGTTCGTCAGCAATCTCATGTTAGACACGTGCAACTCAAACGGCAAAGGATTTATAAGCTGCATCGATACTTCGCAGGTGTCTCCTTCTACCCATAAATAATCTGTAATGAAAACATGTCATATGTCAGAGGTGATGCATTGCCGAGTTGTGTCGAATATGAACATTTAGGTACGTACATACCAACTTTACTTTTCGAGGTATTCTTGCGCTCCAACGATCCAAAGTTGATCGGTGTGAATAAGAACGGGCCGTGATCTTCTTTCACCCTTTCTATTTTCTGAGGCTGCAAATGCGGCTGCATGTTTTTCAGGGTGAACGATTTTGTCTTTGGTATGTTTAGTAAATTAGCTGGTGGTATAACAGTTCCAGAATCCAAAACCTATTACCAAAGATGTCGTTTTTTTTTTTGTATCGTGAATACGGCGTGTGTGTAATGTAATTCTGTAATGTAACATCTGAATTTTCTGAACGTACAAGAGGCACCGGTGCACCCTCACACTGCTGTGACACATTTTGAAGCTGTAATGCGGTATCTTTCCGTTCGTCAGGTGTTAGATGATTGTACATCGTTTGAAGGAGGAATGTCATGTGTCTTGTAGCCAGGGCTGGGTTACCCATCCGATTTGCAGCAGCCACGAGCTCATTTATCACTTGGATCTGTATAACCGGCCATCCTCTTTGCCCATCTACGAGAGAAAGATCTGATTTGAGACAACGGAAGGAACCATTGAGGTCGAGGAACCAGTCGAGATCAAAGTGTATCTCGAGAGAAAAGGCTACGAATATACATCTGATCATTGTAAGAATTACCTAGCGGCATATCGACAGGATCCAAGGATAATTTAAATCCGGGTGTAGCTTGCAACATTAAGTTGTAGCACTGTTGCCAGTCTGGATTGGGATTATTTTGCGACACATGACGCGTGGCGGCTAGACGCAGACAGAATGAAGCTTTTCTATCAAAACCAAAGCTCGTGTATAGATCTGATAGTGTGGTAAATCGATCAATCTGAAATGTTTTATCTATATAACACCTTGGTGTGCTTTATATCTTGGAGTTCTCCGCAATTACACTATATTAACGGTACGTACTTTCTCTTGCTCACTCAGAGGCAGATTGATCAGTACAACATTATTTAGGTACGATGCAGCTTGCAGGGTGCAGTTTTGTTCTATTGAGATTCTTGTAGCCTTAAAACTAGCCTCGGTTTCAATTATACCTGCGTATTGATATTTACTATAATGCACTATGGCGTCACGATATTTCTTCGATATTTCATCAGGTTGCAAAATATGTGGCATATTAGTCTTTATCACTTCTATACTAGGCGGGGCCGGCAGGGCCGTGATAGCTTGCGATCCTCGTCTGTAAGATGACGAATTAGTGTCTTAGAATCACACAGATGAAATCTTAAGATCTTTTTTATCGCAGATTTTTAGCAGATTTTTAGCAGATTAGTTGCAATATATCTTACTTGTGGAGATTACCTTTGTTTGCTTGGACTTCCCTCCTGCAGGGAAGAATTCCGTTGCAGCGGAAGACTTCGACACATATTGGGATACAGTACTAAGACCGAAGCAACACAGAGGCCTTCGTAAGCGGCTCCCAGCCACAGCCAGTCATTGACTGCCTGCAGGATATTGGCTGCAGAATTATAATGACTTAATGCTTCAGCTGGGAGACCAGCCTGAAGACACAAGTCTCCCAGATGTTTCGTCATACGACCTACGCATCTCTTCTTATTGTTCCTAGACTCAAGATCCAGTCCTATAAAGTCTTTCTTTTCGAATGGCGCTAACAGAAGAGAAACACGGTCTATCTTTTCCCTGGAACGCTCCAGCCTCTTGGACTCCAAGATCCAGAACAGAAAATTTAGATATTCAGCGACTTGAGTCTCCAGGTCGGGGCATGACTCGTCTGCGTAGAACACTGCACGGGTCTTGAAGTTACCGGGTGTGGTGTAGTCCGGCGGTGGTTCGTGCCGACCGTTCGACTCGAGCGGCCCGAAGAGGATAGCCCGCGAGTCGTACAAAGTGCTGCTGTATTTGACCTTCAAGGTCTCATGCACCCTGCACAACTCGTTCAACTCCGCCTGATTGTCATATTTGCCGAACGTGATGAGACCCAGCAGTCTCCTGTGAGTCTGAAAATCCCCCCAGTCGTTGTTCTCCACAGGATGTTCGCGGACGAACCTCGCGAGGATCTCCCGGGTGCCACCGCTGGAGTCAGACACGGAGAACCTGCTGCCAGCTTTGGTGATCCTCTCACATAACCTACCAACTGTCTTCGGCTTGATCTGCGCGCCGATGGGCCTTAGTAGCAGCAGCAAGGCGGCGTGATCGTGGGCGGTTTGCTCATAATCGGGATGGGACATCTTGTTGTCGGGTACCGGGCTCGACAGGATAACGCTGATAGCCGAGCGCATTTATGCCATTGATTGCCAGATAATACCCTCGCCAATTAGTACCTAAGCGCTTCCGATCCGGCCAGACTTGTCATTTCTCTCTTCGCGCCGTCGTGCCTGACGGAAATGTGCGACGTTCTGTGCTCCCCGCGAATAAAATCTCTCACGCTCATAACAATCACACCGGCTATCTGTCTCGCTCCTGGGCGATCGGCGCGCGCGTAAGGGCGCCTCTCAACCACCACCGCGCACTCGAGGGGTGTCAGCACGCGTGAATGTAGTATTTATCAGCTGATCTTCGTCACGTACGTTACGTCACGTGACACGCGTACGCTACGTCACGTGATCCGCGCGCGGAGTCACGTGACCGATGAATCGACTGCGCCCGCGCGTGCGCAGCGCAGTCGATTCAAATGCGGCCATTCCAGCTTCCCGCGCAAGAGGACACGGCGCGTATACGCGCCGAACTTTCGTAATAATCCTGCGTTTTTCTTCTCGCTGCAGATACGTCGTCTACTTTTATGCGTCTCCCCTCCGATTGGATCGGTATTCGTCAATCAGAAGCGCGGAATTATCAGTATCGACAGGAAAATCGGACAGGTGAGAGCTTGAAATTTGAAATTAACCTATTCGCCATTGAACCTCGCATTTTAACCTCGCGATTAATTCGCTCGCGCGTTGATTCGCGCGACTGCATCGCCTCGCGAAGAATAACGCGGGCTCAGTCGATCTGACCTTCGTCGCGCGTGAATATACGGAAATGTATATTCAGATTTGCGAAATATTCCCATGGCGCAAGAGACTGAAAATGAAAAGAAACCGTTCCGACTTAGATAACAAGTGTGCCGACGGAGCGAGAGAGAGAGAGAGAGAGAGAGAGAGACGCGATACAACGTGGTGATGTAATGTTCCTACTACCGCAAACAAGAGGTGAGAAGTGGGATCAATCAGTGGCGTATTAAGGTCTCCGCAGAGCTCGAGGTGTTAAACTTCCATAATATACAAGTCAGGTAAGTGAAAAAGTTTCGATGAAGGCATCAAGTTAACGGATCATGAAGAATCGCCTTCGCTCGTGTTACACACGGAATCATTTCGCTTTTATGTCATGTGCGACAAATCCAAGCACATTCTCGAGTTTCGCGTCGCACAAGGGAGGCGTAGACCTTCCTGGTCACCTGGGTCGCCTAGATGCATATACATATATATGCTTTTTATATTTTTATTTTTACTTTTTCGTCACAATACACAGCGAATATTAATGCCCGATAATATAAGTGGATTTACCTACGTATTTATCTTACGTGTTTTACACATTTTTATTAGTAAAAGTAACCATTTTTATTAGTAAAAGAGTAAGCAAATCAGTAACAGAACACTGTGTGAAAGAAAAGGTAACAGAGTGGACGCAAACTCTGCAGGCCCGTAACGCGTCTTCTTCTTGCTGAGTCTGCTGAGTGTAACGGCACTAACATCAAACGCGCTCGAGAAATGCGTCGTTTGCAGGCAGCAGCTGCTTGTTGTACCGCCAAATTTCAGCAAAATCGGTAACTCGTAGGGTCTACGTTTCACTCTACTTATCAGCTACCGCAGTAGCGCGAATAACACCAAGTTCGATAAGACCGACGTTGGTCGACGCTGAAGGGACTGAAGTGATCTGCAAAAGAGACACGAAATGTCATTCAATAGGCGTTGCACGTTTTTTTCGATTCCAACCTGAAGACCTATTGACGTCATCGACTGCGTCTACTCGGCTCTTCGAATGACTCGTGTATATATCCTCCCGTGTACGACGGCATGTGAGAGAAAAAGCCGACTGTCCATCTGGTCGATTGCTCCGGCACTGTCGGAACGGTCGGAACAGGCGGTGGTAACAGTGGGAGAATAGCGACTCTGCAGCTAATACGTAGGTAGTGTTCAGTGTTGAGGCCTCCGTGTGCGCGAGTGCGCCGTGGTGAGCGAGCGAGCGTATACAACAGGTGTCCCGCGATCGGCTAGCTCTGCCACGGTACCGGTTCCTCCATTTCGCTCCCTCAGTGTTTACTCCCCGTCCCCGTCGCCTTTCACTCCGGGACCCCGTGAAGGCCTGCTACGAGTACACGATCGAGAGCGCGTGGTGAGCCGAGCGACGTGTGGATCGGCGCAATATGATGATGGAGACCGCGGTGACGATGGACGGTTCCAGCAACAACGCCAGCAACAATCCGCGACAGGTGCCGACGGTGAAGACGGAACCGGGTCAGCCGAACCCTCTGTCCGGAATCCGGCTGAACGTGTCCTACTTCAAGACCATACCCGGCATTCTCAAGCTGGTGCAGCTGGTAAGCGCGCGCTATCGCCTATTTTGCTTATTTTGCCGTGCGTCCCGCCTATCGGCCGCCTCGCGCAAATCTTTCAAACGCGATTCGTAAGCGGGAATCGTAAACTTCAACGTTGAAATGGCGCACACGTCCGGTGCGATACGGGAATTTACGCGTGTTGTTTAGCAAAGTTCCCGGTGTTTTCGCGAGGAGCGAAATAGCGATATAGCGTGACGTTCGCAATCTCATACATTGCATGCATTGTTTTTCTTCGAGATACGGTAACGTCGCGCGATATGTTAATGCGTCGAGTTACCCGAGAACCGTGGCCTACGGCTTCGTGTTCGGTGCGGAAGAGTTCGTGATCATTCAAATTCCGCGCCGAGGAATTTACTTTGCAACAGCACTTGCGGCGGCTCGTAATTTGAAGAAGTGTTTTTATCGTGGCCGGTAGCGTGAGTTCAACATACTTTCACGCTTCGTTGCGTGGAATTACATGTAGCGAGGAGAAAAAATTCGAGAGAGCTCGATCTTAGAGTGAGTGTCTCTTTCTCTTTCTCTTCAGAGTTAACTTTCCGCACGTTACTTGCGGCTGATCTGAACAGCCTGATAAATGAATCGATTGATCGATCAATGAAAAGTTAATGATTCATGATCGATTATCATCTGCTTGGACCGTTGTAACTGCACGAAGCGGTTAGTGATCTTGAAAACTTCACACAAGGAGAGATTATCGGCTGCTTTAGAATAACAAATTAAAGCAGCTAGAAGCTGCTTTAAGTTGCATGATGTCATTCACTATCGGTCACTGTTTCTGATTATCTTCCGACTCATTATTTCTCATGTATATAGAACGTTCTATATATGCGACTCTTCAGCTCGCGATGGACTCGACTTATCACGTAAGAGCTAATAATAGTTACTTTAGAGGCACTTGACGAATATTTTTGTAACACTCCGCGATCTCTTCAGACCGTATCTTATAAGTGTGTCGCGGAATCAAACGCAGTGATTCGTCACGACCGAGTAAATTTCGCTTCATCCAAAGGATTACATCTATCCGCTTGCTTTGATAATCGCAGACGTTTGCAAGTGTCATACTATCGCAATGTCGTTGCCAGTTGGCAGCGTCAAGTAACTCACTTGAAACACTCGAGAGATTCAAGATTAGAATGGACGAGCGCTCGCGCGGTTCCTACCTTTTTTCTTTTTGTTACGCCGAGTTTCTCTCTCTCTCTCTCTCTCTCTCTCTCTCTCTCTCTCTCTCTCTCTCTCTCTCTCTCTCTTGGCTGTGTCATTGTTTCATTCGGGAGTGTTGCCAAGCGTCAAGCGGATCATCGGAAAAATTATCCGTCTCCCGGGAGATCTCGCTGCGCGCGTCGTCGTTATATTCTTGTTTATATCCGTCGTCAACGCGCCGATCGCCCCGCGCGCGTTTTATGCGCCGCGCAGATCGCGCGAACGAGGAAAACGATGTCAGAAGTGATTTTCGATCATTCATATTCCAATGAGTTTCGCCTTGGATGGTGTTGCACGCGCGCAGAATAGCGTTACGTAACGCTACGCGTTATCTCCTACTACGAGCAGCGTTCCACAATTTCCATCTAACCTAACCTCGATCATGATGATGGTATGCGTGCATCGGCGACGTGGCCGGTTATCACACCATCGAAAGGTCACGCAAAAAGCGCGAAACTACGGTCTGCCGTAATCTCTCTCGTACTCTTTCTAAACAGCGAAGAGCGTTTAGGCTCTTCGTTTTTGTCCCGCGCGAGCGACGTTTTCGACCGTGAAATTCCCTCCCGTGCAATCGTGCGCTCTCGCTCAAACGCGAATAACAATAACGACCAGGCGAAGTTGGAGCATCAGCCTGCCGTCCGTTCGTCTGTTTCTTATTGACGGAGAACAATCTGAGAAGATCAATTTCTCTTGCTGCTCGCTTCCGATGATTTCGGTGATTGAGCTGTGCCGTTTAATCATTCGCACATGACTCGCCGACAGCTACCTACTACCGTTCCAATTTGTTCGGAGACTCCCGCTGCTGACGGCCGGACATGAAGGGGTTAACGATACCTGACGCTTTCGCTCATTTTTCTCGGGGTGTAAATAATCGTCGGTTGCGTTCGAGCGCCATTCCAACGGCGGGAACATGCCAAGGATCGCTCGTATTCGCGATACGAGCCGCCTACTCGCTCGCACGTTACGCACGCGAGACACGCCGGGAATGTAGCGACTTTGATAAGCGCTTTACGTTTGCGAGTTTTTATGACAGCTGAATTAGAAACGACTCGGCTGGTCTACGGGGTCGGGATCGATACTTTCTACGAGGAAATTTAACTTTCTCGACGGCCTCGGCGCAAACACTTGTCGCCGCGCGCGGCGGAAATATTTACCGCCGAGAGAGAAGGCTATCCTCGTTCTCACGGCTCCTCCGAAAATCCGTTTTCAACGTAAAACCGTGTTTGTGACTCTTGATGGCGGGATTCAAACGCCAGCTTCGTTTATTGCTTCAGCCGGACGTTTGTGTGCAACGTCCAAGCTGCTGCTGCTGCTGCTGCTCGAACACTTCTCCTTGGGGAAGACGCCTTTCGTTATCGTGTTTTCATTTTATTAATTCACGCTCGCGTCTCATCTCCTCCGACGAGACGCGCGAGCCCTTGCGAAACCCGGAAAGACAATTTTCGACTGCGAAATCTTGGCCCATGTCCGCCATTGGTCTCATAAAATTCGCATCATTCGTATTAAAATACATCTTCCACCGCTCCCTCTCTCTCTCTCTCTCTCTCTCTCTCTCTCTCTCTCTCTCTCTCTCTCTCTCTCTCTCTCTCTCTCTCTGTCCGTCTGTCTTTCTCTCTCGTGTTGGAATTTAGGAGACATCGTTGTGCGATTTCCAAGTCGGTTTCGATTCGTAGACCGCCCCAAATTCCCAGCCCGCACTTTCGAACTCAAAGTATCACATTCCACTTCGACAAAATTTCACATTTCGAGCGAAGAGGAAACGTTACGATCGTAACAGATCGATCTCTTTGGATTTTATCCGACGCTCATCAGCAGGACTGTCAGCGCGATAAAGCGGGGATGTGATGCCGACAGGATGCTTTGCGACGATCTTCCGATCGATCTGGAAGCACGCACTGTGTGCACGCGCATCGTCGTGGCATCGGCCGTTGCGCGGTTTACACCGTGACGTTGAACCTGCAGTGGCATAACCACGTAACGGTAATCCTCTTACGGAACGGTTAACAAAGTACCCTGCCTCTGCCAGACGGAAAAGATGGCTTCTGGTCGCAACATCACATTAGTTGCTTCACCCGACACCGGATGAAGCATTGACTCGTAAAAGCGAATTAGTTCTCTGCGTTGGTTACGCAGCGCGGAGTTACGTGAACAAATTGACTCGGATCTCGAACAATTTAGAAAACTGCCAACGAGCCGACGATAATTCGCCGTTTCTCTTCTTGTAATCCGACGATTACTCGCGAAAATGTCTCTCCGAGGCTGACGCTTGTCCAGCTTTCGTTGAAAGAATTCACCTTTTGGGGAGGGCTATCGCGAATAAATCGCACGCGATCCACCCATGTTGTTATACACGGATACGACGTCTACTTGTTTTCCATTCGAACACACGGACTTGTCGTCGGAGATACGGTATTGTTGGCTCTGATACCGTTACAGAAGATCAGGGTCGGCTCGGTTTGGCTGCTAAACGCGGCCGCCCATACATTCCTCCTCGTTGCGCACGAGGCTGTACATTATTTATGATCGATAGAAGTAAGCAGGAATGTGTATTGATCCGACGTGAAATAGTCGCTTCTTATAATAGCGTACGTGGCTGTACAGCCGGCGACACTCAGCGTGTCGGTGACAATGAGGGAATGAATCTTTCATGCGTTGCGCAAAGTCCGTTTGCGGAATCTCGGGGCGTTGGGAGTGAAATTGCGTAATAACGACGAGATTCCATTTCCCGACCACAACCACGTTGACACGCTGGAGACCTTCGTCCCTAACGATGTCAGTAATTCGATATCTTCGTCAAGTTACCTCGCAGTCATTTAATTTCACACGCCGATATACCGCGATCGAATCCTACGTACAACTCCAAATGGAGTTTTCGTTCCTCGCGAGACAAGCGCCTGTTATATTTCCATTAGGACGCCGTGTCCTCATCGTTTAAAGTCACCTCTCCTCCCATTAGTGACTCGTCTCGGCGACAATAATTGGACAAGGTAGAGGAGATTATCGAGTGTCTTCGATGTGATTCACTGTCTCTCGCCTCTTCCTCGAAATTCCTGCCGCCGAGCGTGCGTTTTAAAAGGGACGAGATTACTCGCGATTCCTCTCTCTCTCTCTCTCTCTCTCTCTCTCTCTTCTTCTGTCTCTCCGCTTTTCATCGTTACACCGTTATTTCATGTCGGAGTGTTATTAATTGCTTCAGTTATGAGCGCTTAACACAGTTGGTTGGGTAATTAATAGCGCGTCTCGCCTCGGTTCGTGAGCTTCGCCTAGCGCGCGATAAGAAAAATTAGCACGATGGTCCGTGGATTAATTCTTCGGCTTAATCCGCCGGGTAATTGTACGTAATTACTTCATCGCTTTATCGCGTCATCGATACACGCGGATCAGAGCGCAGCGGCGCCGCCCGCGCCGCGTGTGCGCCGATCGACGCGCGTCTCTATGAGTCGCTCGTTAAAATATTAAGTACAGTTATTTCGTGTCATCTATCGGACGCGCTGCACTCTCGGGGACAATTGCAAATTGCGCGCGCGGCGATTAAGAATGAATATCAATGACATGGAAATTACCGACACGCTGACGGCGACGCCGAATATAGCGCGTGTGAGTCCGCGGGGGCTCACCTAACCGGCTCTCGGCTACCGCCGAGATATCGCGGGATGAAGTAATAATCTTCGGCCGCGGACGAAACAATTCGACTTTCGGCCTCCCGTCGCGCGAATACGGGCGAAGAACAGATGCGGCGCGTTTGCGACGTCGCAGCGTGTCGCCCGCGGCCGAATTGCGAG